CATCATGACGTCCGGTCATTTGACCAGATATGGTAGAAATGGGTATATATTAAGCTTTGGTATGTTTAGTGTTAATGATCATTTATTAATTTTTATTATTTTATTTAACATTAGTAGAAAAAAGTTTAAATTGTAAGGAACATTTTTTTTTTTTTTTTTTTTTTACAATTTTCTTAAATAGCAAAATAAAAAATTTGAGCTCAGTTAGTCTAACAGTTCCAGAATTATTAAAATGTATACACAAATCATAGATTGATTTCCTATGGATCAAAGATATGGTTGAAGAAGAAGTTTTTGATCTGATGAAGAGAACTAAGTTTTAGAAAAATTCAGGAGCTTCAGGGGAATTTTTTGGTCTAATAAAAGAGAAAAATGTTAAAAGTTACAAAATTTTTAATTCCTTATGCCATACCAACTTACTGTCTAAAAAGAAAAGGAATAGTTTAGGTTATGTTAAATATAACACAATCTTTATATGTCAGTTTGAATATCTTAAGCTTTTGAGCGAAACCTTAAATTTAGTTTTATAAATTATATCTACTTCACCAAAGAATATGTAATTCGAATTCTGTTATTTTTAACACATAACGTAAGTTTGCTCAATAATTGTGTAAAATCAAATTTATTCTTATTACTAAAGAAAAAATTATCTGCAATAAATTTTAACAATATTATAACTTTTAAGATATTATAAAAAATTATTGAAATGAAAAATCCAAGAAAAAACTTAAAGAATTTTGGGATTAAGTTCAAACCGAAAAACCCTTTTGGTTGGGAAATTTTAATCTGTGAAAATTTTCTGCACCCGTTCTCCAATACATTGCCAACTATATTGATCGTAATGAATATAAAAATAATATAGGATGGACATTATAACTGGATGTAATTACTTAAAAATAAACTGTACAATGCAAGTTAAAAAGAATAAAATATAACAATCAACAGTTATTATATAACAATTAAATAACTTAGAATGAGCTAATGAAGGTCGTTCTAAATTGTTTAAAAACTGTTGTTGTAGATATTGAGTTGAAAAGTTTAGATTGGAAAACGGAGATATTTCTTTTTCCTAAAGATACAATTTATAACTGAATTAAAAGTAGGGTAGACACTTTATCTATTAAAAAAAAAAAAACTTCTTTAACAGTTAAAATAAAAAACCGAAGAAACTAGACAAAATGAAAGAAACTAAAACTGACAAATACAATTGTTCAGAAATATGAATTATAAGAAAAAATTAAACAAGTTAAATTTAATAAAGAACCAGAAAATTCCAATTTTTCACATGAACTCATTTAAAAAAATCTTTTCATATTAAGTTGTATACAGAATTTAACGATCCCTTTATCACATAATTTAACAGTCGGTTTGGATCAGAATTAATGTGATCTCAAAGTTCAAAAAAAGACAAGGCACTTAGAGTTTTCAAAGGGCACTCACCGTTAAAATTTATAAAAATGTATGTTATGTAATAACTGAATTTGGCCATCAATTTTTAAATAAGCCTCTTATACTATTTTATAAGCAGATTTCACAAAGTAATAACAGAAATATGTAGAGCATTTAAAAATTAAAGGCAAGATAAATGTGTGTACAAATTTTTTTCAAAGGAAAGTAAACTAAAAATAAGGACTAATTGATTAATAACTTTAAAGAGCTTTTTATAATTTAGATTGAAAATTATGAGAAAATAAACATTTAGAGATGCATTTTATATTCATTCAAAAAAAAAAATTTTTAAATTTAAAATCACTAAAAAATTCTTTAATGCACCCCCTTCCAAATAAAAGATTTGAATATCTCTGGGGCCAAATATCATGAGAATTTAAACTATATAACTAGACAAGAAAAGGCATACTAAAAAAGAGGGAATGAAATTAAAAATTAAAGTTAAATTACCGAAAACTAAATAAGAAATGGACTTTTCATCATAACATGTGGTTAAGAATGTTTTTAGAAACAATGTTTTTAAGGAAAGGCAGCTGATTTTTACATAAAGGGCAAGGAGGATGCATTTATAGGGATCAAAAAACTGGCGGGATGTACCGCCTTCAAAAAATGCTTGGTGATAGTTTAACATATTTGGTATTTTTAAAATATTAATAAAATTTGATTAAGATATTTCAACGTCTCTTCATATGGTTATAAAATAAGGTTTTAAGGTTACATTTACTTAGGCATTTACTAACTATAGGGACCTTGTGTTGGTCACCGCTTTTCTGAATTTTCCTCAACCCGCACATAGGCAATATTATTAGGTACCTCGAAATAAAACATGTTTAATTCAAAAATATTGATATTTGAATTGTAATGGATTTGAAGCTTTACGAAACAAAAATAAAATTGTAGTTTTACCACGAATAAAAAACTAAGTAAGCGAAAATAAAAAAGTATTATGATCTGTTACAATAAGTAACAACCAAAATTCAATACTAGGTCCTATAATAAAAATTCAATTAGAGTTAATTCATTATTTAGGAAAAAAATTTCATTCTACGGAAATCCGAGGCAGTAATAAACAGAATTTAATTTGGCCAATAAAATATACTCGTTTTAATCATTTCTGGCAATATGCACTATACTTTTTACCGGATTCGTAGCAGCCAGTGACCAGAATCTAATATTGTCCTAGCGTGCTGACTAACTTGCCTTTGTGGTCCCTATAACCTGTAAGTTGCCTCATTTACACATGATACTGAAGGACAACAGTTATTTCAATTTATTGAGAAATTCATTTCATTATTCTTCCCAATTACGTCTTTTTAGATTTCATATTTTTAAACCATCATACATTTAATAGTTGTAGAAAAAATTAGATTGCAATTATAAACTTAAAAATTATCATTATCATATTTGGGCCATTCACTACAAATAGACTAACAAAAATAAAAACTTTTATTAGAAATTTCTAATTTTTTGCAATAAGAGACAAGAGAAGATACTAGACAAGGGAAACGAAGCTGTCATGCTTAATATTAAAAAAAAATACCAAATTATATGGTTTTATTAAAGAGATGAAATTATTACATGGGATGGTGGGAATGATAATTTTAGTTAAAAACATTGTCAAAATAACATTTATAATGAATATATTAAAGTATTTGTAAGTTCTTTACTATAAAAGAATATCTTTAGTCTTCAAAAACATTTGAATCAATCCCTCACAAAAGTAACATTTTCTTACATTAAGGAAATGATAATAGTGAGAGAATGAGAAAATAACATTATTTGCTTTTGACGTCTATACCAATAAATATGATTAAAATAACATTACACAGTGTCTTCACTACAGCACGAGAACGCGAGATTCTTGCATATTTTTTCTTTTCTCACAATAAAAAACAATTAACACGAGAAGTTCGCGCACTCTATTAATCAATTTCAAAATGCACAAATTTGGAAGAAATTTCGTCTTTTGCCATTTTGAACAAAATCCGTTTCACTTTTCTTCCTTGATCTTTCACTATTTTGAACATCGGTCCTTGTTATCTAGCTTCCGTATTTATCAGTATTGTTCAGAACCGGTGCAAACAGCAGAACACCGCCCTCCCGAACCACAGAACCCCTTTCAGAACACATTTCTCAGCAACCACGTGTCTACCGTAGATAAGGTAAGGTGCATGAATGTAAGATGGACAAATTCCTTGTTAAGGCAACATTTTCTACTCCGTAGCGGACAAATGAAAATAAAACAGATGTCGGTAGAAACGGTCAAAACAAAATAAATACGGACATTTTTCAGCCAAGTAAATATAATAGCCGATGAAAAAGTAGATATAGAACCAGGGGTCTGTCCAGGCCGAATTTACTACCGTTTAGCGGTACCTTCACAAATTCAATTTTAGGAAAAACTGTAGTTTCGCAAGATACTTTTTCTTAAAATTTCATTTTCGTATCCTTAAAAAACGATAAATCTATATTTTTACTATGTTTTTGTGTTGATTTCTAATATAATTTTAAATTTTTCACAAATTATCTCTAAATTTTCTCAAAATAGGTACCTCTCAGAAAAACCTAGACAGACCCCTGAGAACATTTTTCATATAATGATGCAGCAAAAATATTCAATTAGAAGACGTAAAAAATGGATTATAATTAACAGAAATAATTTTTTTCCAAGTCAATTTGAGTTTTTTTAATTTTTAGAAATCTCAGTCTTGCCCTTTCTCAGACCCGTGTTTTGGAGAAAAGGTGAGAAATTCTTCCATTTTTTTTCTGTAATGAATACACTGATTACACTTTTACTAATAACAATAAAATAATAAACTAATAACACACATAATTAACACTAGATTGCCGAAAGAAGTCATTTAGACTGCTTTTTAATTTCAATTAGAAAAACAATAATGACACAATTTCTTAGAATTTTGGGACTTTTTGAACATATAAATTATTTTTATTGTTAATATTTACTTATAGCTTGTTATATAACTGTAAATAATATAAATATTATTAAAAATTTATTTTAAACAAATTTCTTTACTCATTAGTTATTCTTTCACAATCCAGTTATTTTGACTGCTTATGGGCAGTCTTTCTAGCTTTACAACACTGTTAATTTATAAATAATGACACATATTCTGTCAATGATTTGCGTGACAACCTTTACTAGATCAATTTTCATAAAACTGACAAGAGCAAAACCATAAATTTCAGCAGACAATCATTTAAAAAGTAAAAGATTTATTTAAATTAAATAATCAAGCTCTCGTTGGAAAAAACAAAACAAAGAATGATATTTAGAATATGTAATTCTGAGAATATAGCTTTAAATTTTATATAAACAAAACTGTAAAAAGAGAAAATTAGATCTAACCGGTGCTGATTACATTATATGTCAAATGCCATATAAATAACAATTAGGGCCTAAAGGTTCAGCATTACAGAAAACACTGGGTTTATACATAGCAGTACTCGTATGTTTTTAGTGTTATACATCATTATGTCACGTAACTGACCGATGATGACCATTATCATGTAAGGAATGCGATAATTCTCACCTCTTCTCGGCGACGGACTTCCTCTTGAAGGCGTGCCTGTGCATCGTCCGCGGCTTCTTTAGCGACTTCCAATTCCTCTTTCATGCTACGCATTTTTTTCTTTAGAACTTCTAAAAGGGTACCTTGCTGAATAGTCGTCATCTTGTTTAAAAATTTAGGAGATATGTGAATTTAGAGTGATTTTCGGATGGAGTGACGAATTTGACACACAGGCGCGACCGCTGACACGATAATCAAGCCAAATTGGGCGTGTTTCGGTGTTGCCATCGGTTGAAAGAGAAGTCGTGAATTTTCTTTGCAAAACGCCGGCTTCTTTAGATATTGATCGATATTTGATATTTCCTTATATTAAAAAAATTTTGAAACAATCTAGAATAGAAATCATTTCTTTCCTAGCATTTTGTGTTAAGATATTTAGCGAAAATATGAAAAAAAATCGAAAGTTTCGAAATACAGTGGTGCCCTCTAAAGTTTTACATCGAAACTACTCCACAAAAACAACGTATTGTCTGTTTTTGTTTCGTTTTTCTGAATTTGCTTAGTTCCGAAAATTTAAAATGAAATTTTAAGAAGCAAAAAATAAAACTTAGCATTCTTTCCTGGAAAAAAATTTGTCAATGTCCCCCTTAGAAAAGGAAAGAATAATTAAAGGGAAAGTACATAAAACAAAACAAACAAACAAACAAAAAATTTAATATAATTCTTTAGAATTTTTTTTTTTTTCATTTAAAAATCAAGGAAATTGATTAATAATTTCAAAATTGAAAGGAAATAAAATTTTACAAAGTCAAAAGAAAAATTTTATTCATTCCAAAATATTCCCTCTTTATGAGAAATAAAATATAAAAAAAAGTTACATAATAATAAAAATACGATTAAAAAAAATTTTTGGAAACATTTTTAATAAATTTTTTTTATTTTTTTACTAACGTCAAAAGTTTAAATAATTTTAAAATTACTAATTATTAGTTTGATTTTTATCAAGTTATTTACTTAAACTATATTTATTATGTTTAGATTATATTATTTATTACTTTATATTTTCTATTTATTTACAGTCATTAATTTAGAAATAACATTATTTCATTAATTTTTATGGTCATATATTATAATTATAGGGTCATTTTAGACATTTCTAATAACATTTAAATCGAAGTTCTGGCAGAAATATTTATTTCTATAGTTAAAAAAAAAAAAATTCAAAAACTTTAAGTGTCGATTTTCTATAATTTTCTCTGTTTATGCAATTTTTGCAAAATATTTAAATTAGGACAGGGGAGACGGTGTCATGAAATTTGTCATTTAAGTTTAGTAGCAGTAGTCAAAAATTTACTACACATCAACTCCGAGAGATTTAAAGTTAGGTTCTAAAACTCTTAGATTTATAAAAATCATTTCGACAAATATTTATAATTATATGAATTGGAAAAATATTGCTTGACTGAACATTATGAAAATTTAAGTTTTAACTTAATTAACAAAAATTTAATTTATAGCAATTGTTAATTAATTAACCATCAATAATTGAAACATCACAATTATAATATAATATAATAAATAATTTAAAATGAAATACTTTTACTCTAATCATAATTTTAAAAAATTGGAATACCAAAATTTGAAATTAACATTTCTTGGTAACAATAATAATTCTTCCCTAAGATTTAGTATATTTTTAATCGAGTCAAAGTCTGTAGGATTAAGAGAAAAATACGGAATCGAACATTGAAACATATCTCTCTGATTTTCCTACAAATATAAAAATCCCTAAGTAAAAAAAAAAAATAAGTGATCGCCTTTTTTTTAATAAATAATAAAAATCGAACTAAATTAATAATTTTGCATAAAGAAATAAAAAAAATAATAACAAAACAGAAATAAATAAATAAATAATGTTTTATTTACCGTTTGAAGAACTTTATCTTTTTCTTCCAATTTTGAATTTGCTTGTACAAGTTCTTCTTGGACAAAATCTAGATCTTTCTCTACGTTCTTAATCATTTTTTGAAGAGCTCGTATTTCTTCTTCAGCCTAAAAATATTAACACATCATTAATCGACCAATAAAAAATACATATGATAAAAATGAAATTTCCTGTCAAAACATATTGTTATATTCAACAATAAAATTAAAATCAGTTTCATTTAATGTTAAGATAAAACACCTTTATCCTACTGATGAACATATACTATTATAGGTTTTAGTAAAAAATTTTACCAATTATAATTTAAAACGTTTATGAAAAAATGAATGAATAATGAATGAATTTTAATATTATGTATCACAAAAAATTACTTTCGTAACATTTAGGACGAATTTTAGAGGGAGTCGGCTAGAGAAGTATCAAAACTTTCCCTCTCTAAAATGTGATCTTGGAGAAGTACTTAAGATAGAATAATGATTTTAATATTATGTATCACAAAAAAGTTACTCTCGTAACATTCAGGACGAATTTTAGAGGGAGTCTGCGAGCGAAGTATCAAAACTTCCCTCTCTAAAATGTGATCTTGAAGAAGTACTTAAGATAGAATAATGAATGAACTTTAATATTATGTATCACCAAAAAATTACTCTCGTAACATTTAGGACGAATTTTAGAGGGAGTCGGTGAGAGAAGTATCAAAACTTCCCTCTCTAAAATGTGATCTTGGAGAAGTAATTAAGATAGAATAATGAATGAATTTTAATATTATGTATCACAAAAAAATTACTCTCGTAACATTTAGGACGAATTTTAGAGGGAGTCGGCGAGAGAAGTATCAAAACTCCCCCTCTCTAAAATGTTATCATGGAGAAGTACTTAAGACAGAATTTCTAATTTCTATAGTTGATCATAATGACATATTTTAACAGGGAGCCGTGAAGGCTCAGAGGATAGAGGGTTCACCTTCCGATGAGGTGAACCGGGTTCGAATCCCAGCGATGGCTGATCGATACGAATTCCGCATCCGGCTTGCACCGACCACAGTGCTAACATAAAATATCCTCAGTGGTAGACGGATCATGAATTAGAGTCACCTTCCCGTCTGGCTAACCTGAGAGGTTTTCGTGATTTTCCTCTCCATGTAACGCAAATGCGGGTTTGTTCCATCAAAAAGTCCTCCACGAAAGCAAAATTTTTCCCAATACTAGATTCATGAGTTCCCTTGTCTTCTGGATTGAGTTCAAAATTTCAAGGATACGGATTTAAATATTAGTAGTCGTAAACCCAAAAAATTGGACCGGCAGTTCTACGGCGGTTATAAAATAAAATAATATATCGGGCTATACAGGTAGTCAGGGGAAAAAAAACTCATTTTGTTCTTTTTCCACATTTGCAATCTTAGGTACCAGTTTGCATGTTTACAATCGTAGATACCAATTTGTAAATTTGCAATAGTAGGTACCAATTTGCATGATTAATAACACATGGTGTAACAGTAAACGCTTTTGTTTATACTTATTGGGTTCTTTAGATTCCATAAAAAATATGCTGAACGAACGCACTAATTAGGCACAAAAAAAGCGTTTATTATTATAATTTATACTACGTATTGAACTATCAAAACAAACACATAAAGTGCCAATTTTTTCACGTTTTCTGTTAATAAATAAAAACAATCGAATAATTCGTTCCCAATAATTAGTCTCCGAGATATAAATTATGTTTATTTGGTATTTAAGCAAGTTAAAGCTCCATTAACTTTACGTAAAATTATAATTAATTGAAATAAATAACTATCGGTCATTAATAAAGATTTAATTGCTTATTAAGTTACACAAATACATCATAAAACATCTACACTCATTAATATTCGTTAATGCAACTACATTCGTAGATACATTAATTAGTGGTGACTAATAATTGATAATTCGCTAAAAAAACATTACAGGCCCTGAGTTCTCTAATATTATTTTATGTTAGAATAATTTTTTTTTGTTTGAATAAATTAATATTTTGGGAAAATCAGCGGGAAAATATTCTACAAAAAAAAAAACTATTTTAAAAGGTGTAAACAGTTTAGTTAATGTGCACTATTTTTTAAATAATCATGTTATAGAGTTTTTTTATTGTTCATAACCCAGCTCACTTTTATCAACCAAATAAAGCCACAAAACTGTCCTTTTCTTATCAACAAGATGAGCTCTCGATTCTAAAATATGACAGGAAGTTCATATCCATATCTTTTTCAAAGTGATAAAAATAGTTTCAAATTTTTTGCGCAAATGAGATTTCACAACTATTGATATTTTTTTTAAATCCGGATGTCCTAGCTATTTACAATACATAAAGTGGTCGCGCAATAACAATTGAGGTTATGCTTAATTTTGTTCAATAAAACGCTAAAAGTTTCACTGTACCATTATCAGGTTTACATATTTGTTTTACTCTTTGACGCCGATGGGACACCTGTGATCCTTTTAAATATTTTTATTTTTTTTCCTGACGCTATAATTACAAGCAAAAATATATTTTGATACTTTCTAATTATCAAAAAAAATATTTAAAAATTACTAAAAAAAATCTGTTATATTATCGGAATTATATTTGTATTAAAATATAAAATCCACAAAAAGAGTAGTTTGAAGAAAAAAAAGTTTTTTTCATTCATGTTCAAAAATTTATCAATAATTTATTTTATAAATCAGAGTAATTTCAAAGATGAATAACTGTTTCGAAATAAGTACTAACTGCAAATAAGTGCAAATTTGAAAAATCATTATTTGGAAGTGGCCGCGTTTGTAAAACTTTTACCATCTTCAACACAGAAAAAGCCACTGGTGTTTCATGCTGTATTTTATAATCGTAAGTTACTAAAAGTGCTAAAAATAAAAAATTTCACTTATTTTGGCCTAAGTTAATACAAAATAATGAAACAAAGCATGAAAAATATGTTTCTTAAAAATTTTGAGGTAAAGGGCTTAACTGTTTATATATATTGATAACCAAAATCTACAACAATTTTAAATAAATTATGCATGCTGTGGAAGAAATGAGAATGAAGAATATATTTAATATCAAGCAAGCTAATTTAAATTTTTTTTCTCCAAAATTATATTCTTTTATTTATTTTTCACAAAATTCTGTTCATTTAATAATTTTTTATTTCATTAGTTTCAAAAAATTAGTTAATAATTATTCTCCACACCTTTTGTTTAAAACTCGCTCGATCATTCCATGCTAAATTTGCTCTCTCTATCTCCCTTTTCGCTCCAGAAATCTTTTTGAAAGCGTTTAAAAATCCATCCATTAAAACCAATTATCTTTGGTTAAAAGTAAATGTCCAATCATATGCTAAATAAG